CCCTCCTGATTTTTTTTCTCCTCAAGAAATTATAGAATCAGTAAATGGATATATATATATATATGTGGTCACCGTCATGCATTTACATAAGACATTCCAGCATGCATCATCAAATAATTCATGTGTATTTGTGACATCAACATAACTGAAACATTATATTATTTCCCAGTAATTAGGTAAATCATTTTGATTTACAATTATATATGTCTGGGACTTATGCATGTATATGTCTCACAGGCACTTGTCTCAGAAAAAAAAATCCTATATACTTTAATAAAGGTATATAGGAAATAAAATTCTGAGACAAGTGCCTGTGATATATATCTGTCAGTCCCAGAATAATAAATATAATTGTATCTTAATCTTTGGAAAAATCCGATTATTAAAATTGTTAAATTCTTTTACTTCATAATTATGTCAAAGTATACTTTTTTAAAGTTTTAAATTTTAAGTTAAAATGAATATTCCGTTTTGATCTGAGGAAAAACTTTTTAAACTGTAATGACATGGTCAGTCAACTGATTTGTTACATGGCTGATTACAGGTAATTAAAGCATGCAGTAATTTTCCATTACGACAGTGCGTGTACCCTGGGGTGTGTATAACGTATTAGAAATACCATAGTTTTCTAGAGAACATCATGTCTATGTGTAATACAGATTGATGACATTACACAAAATTTCTTTCGTTAAATGTAGTTAAGTATCTGTGTCCATTCCCTATTGCAACACTACAAATTTTTCGTAGAAAAAAATGTTAAAATTAAAAAAAAAAATCATTTATATAAAATAAAGAAGAAAAAAGTAGCAAATAAACTTATGTAACTACGCATTGGGTAAACATAATTTCACTTTACATGTACAAACCCTTGAGAAAACGTGTATATAGTTGTGTTTAAAAAGGCCAATTCCCAGTGGATTTATTTCACACTAGGACCACAGGCACTTGTCTCAGAATTTTGTTTCCTATATACCTTAATATAACATTCAAAGTATATAGGAAATTTTTTTTCTGAGACAAGTGCCTGTGACTAGGACCTAAGATAATTAGAACTAAGTTCATTGGAAAGTCTTTTTGTCTGATACATGTATACCTATAGATAATGTACATAATTAAGAACAGCTTCAAATATATGCCTATAAATTAACGGTACGTCTGAAAACCGCTCAGGATCTCCTGAGTGCAGACAGGACATAAAAAGTCACTCAGGACATGTATATATGTTTTACGTCTAGTAATGGACTTCTGGTTTTAGTGAGCGTTGAGGGTATACATTCGATAGATAATTTAATTTTTGATCTTATAATTTTGGTTTTGATAAAATAAAACCAACATTAAAGAAGTTATTTGGGATACGTCATGCATGACCGATGATCATATTCAATACCAATCATCATTTTGATTAGATCTTTAATAATTAGGACTGATTGGTGATGGTTATTAACACGTACAAGTAAACTTTGCAAACAAACAAAAAAAAGCGTTTCCTTGGAATAATTATAATAATACATGAATATTGTTTTTACAAAAAAAAGTTATTTTTTTCGTTTTGTATGTAATAATTGAAGCCATTTAGAAATATAAGAAATCTTCACATAGTCGGGAAATTTTCAATTAAAGTTATTTCATTTGAAAACGTTAAAAAATATAGATCTTATTCGATGTAAAATGTGGCGTCCTTGGAGATCAAAACCCCGTTTAAATAGGGTTTGTCTACTTTCGTCTATTGCCGAACATTCTATAATCAAGGATTTGTACAAATCCTTGCTATGATATATTGAATCGCGTCTCCAATATCACCACCATTACATAAAGTACAAATACAATCTTCTCCTAAATATTTGGCATCTAACAATTTCAATAGGAAATTTTGAGTCACGATTTAGTTTTGGGATATTTTTTTTCGTTGAATAAACTTAATTTTAAAAACGTTTCAGTATTTTTCTGAAACATTTTTAAAAGGAAACGGACTTGTAAACAAAATTTATTTTTGAATATTAATATTGAACAATGATTGTTAAGAAAACAATCTGCCAAAGTGGTTTGGTAATTAACTGGCTTCATGCTGTCAAAAATGTCTCCTTTTTATAAGTTATTGATAAAAAAAAAAAACTATTTGAGAGCGAATTAATCATTTCCTCAACTAAATACCATCTATAAATAAAGTCAATTCGTCAAGAACTTTCTCTCATATATTTAAACAATTGTAAAATAATTAATTTAAACTTTTGTACTGCGACTTTCTGTCCGTTTACCAATACTTATTCCTTGTTAAGTTTTTTCATATCCATTTACGAACACTTATAATGTGATAATTTTTCCGGATGCTTTTTATCCTATTTTCATATCAAACAACCATGTTACCCGTAGAACGGAGTTAAGTACAAATTTAAGAATTTAGTACTTAAAATTTTCAACAAAATTTTTTTACACTTTCGTTTACCTGGATTTTTTTCTACGCTTCGAAGCCACCACCCTGTATCAAACATAGCCAACACCTCGCATGGCGTATTCACAATGTTGAGGGATTGACAATATACAATCAAAGTTAGCAATATACAGCAAGTAAGTAATTGGGTGTTGAATACCAGTAGATCTGAATTTGTAAATTTGTAAATTGAATTTAACCTGTTTAGAACGTGTATTGTTGAATTGTTTAATAAAATTACACACATAATCTGGGCTGATATGCATAAAACCACTTTAAGTTCAAGGTATCAACGAAACTGGGTCTGCATGAAAAAATGACTTATCACATAGTACCAGAACCTATGTTTACTGTTAGATGATAAGAAAATATAGCTGTAGGCCTAGTTGAAAATCTTTACAAATTATTTATTCTTTAAATTTCTATTTGACTGTCTGGGTGCTTCTTATGTGTTTTAAATGTTTGCGTTTTGTATGCTATAGTTAAGTTTTATAGACTGTTGTACGTCATTTGGTCGTTTTTAAGTTTTTGCCATGGCGTTGTCAGTATGTCTTCGACTTAAAAGTTTTATATAATCTGCATCTCGTGTGCTGTATTTTAAAATGTATCTACACAATTGCTGCATCTTTACACATTCATCAATACACCTAAAAATATGAATAAAGCTTTCGTATATATAAAAAATAAGGAGATGTGGTATGATTGGTAATGAAACAACTATCCGCCAGTTCAATTCAAAAACCTGATATAAGCAAATGTGACTTACTTACTTACTTTAGTCAGAGAGATCTTGAATCTGAATTCAAGGATACGAAGTGGGAAGGGGGTAGAGGTGGATTAAGGTGAGGGCATGGGGGCCCGTCCCTTTTTTGGAAAAAATTGGTTGATTATTTAGAGAATCACTGAAGCGGGCCCCCTCTTTATGCATGACAGTTAGTGCCTCCTTGTGACATTTTTTGGATCCGCAACTGGCGAGGACTTCATAAAAAAATATTTAGTAAGTTTTTGTTTTGTGATAAATAAAGTATTTACATTCACATAGACAGAAATAAGATAAAATAAACTACCGAAAGCTTAAGTCCACATAAGAGGGTATGGATGGGGGTTAACAGAATAGAGAATAACGGACAAACAATAAAGATTAAAGAATAATGAAATGCTAAAATATGAGGAAAGAGAGTAATGAGCAAAAAGTGTAAGTTTGTAGAAATATTGATAAAAAAAATAAAGAACACAGAAAAAGAAGACCCCCCCCCCCAAGATCCTGACTTCAACTTTAACGCTGCCGGGATATTTTGAAACAAAGTGCACGTATTAGTAGTCAGCCGGGATATTTTGAAACAAAGTGCACGTATTAGTAGTCAGCCGAAACCACTACTGAAGCGTTTTGCACTATGATCCATACGTTTTTTTTCGGGATACTGACTGAATAGTAAATTATCAATGTACTAGTTAATGTTCTCGAGAGATGACCCTATTACAGAGACATATATACACATATGTGTATATATGTCTCTGCCCTATTTAATAATTACGTGTCAGTAACCTCCTCGACACGGTTCATTTTACGGCGGCTCATTTTTGTCTTAAGAATAAACATAATTGATAAGTTTCTCTCCCCTGCATTCCTCGATCGCACTTGTAAATAGCACATTGGTCTCAATTTATTTCTATTCCGTTATATTTGGAATTTCCCTATTCTATTTCTATCTTTAGACTTGTGGTACAAGTTTGGCTAGTATGTAAATCAGAAGTGGTCTGATGTTACTGTTGTTTTCTGCACGAACATTTCGAGGGCGGTAGTACGGGTGGGGTTTTATAGGCATATATAAGTCCTGATTACGTTTGATTATTATCGATGTGCTCCAGTAACTTTGATAGACGAAGTTAACGTTTAGCTCTGCATAATATGTCCGAGGAAGGCTCCGACCATGATGAACGCCGTGCTACTACTCAACATGCTGAAAATAGTAACGAAACAGAGTTAAGTACGGACGGGGCTATTTCGCTTTTCACTTCAGCTTTAAACAATGCTTTAGAGAAGCAAAAACATTCCTTGATTAATCATTTTGAAGCTCGTTTAGGAAAAAGTGTTAAAGCAACCGGTGTCGACCAAACAGAATTTGTATTCCAAAGTGAGGGAATTAAAGTGCAACATTCGTTTAATACCGAGCGTCTGGAGAGGCTTGCTGCCGTTGAAAGTTGTATAAAGCTTGGAAACGCTTCCGAAGTTAGTGAAATTATTACCCAAGAAAAGGAAATCATCCGTAAGCGTAACAAAATTCTAAAGATAGCCGACAAGCATGGATGGGACACGGTTAAAGAGTACTTGGATAGTCCGTTGGCCGACAATAAAGAAGATGCTAGTGATTTGCGTGCTGCTATTTCCAGGGCTTCTCGTAAAAGAAGTTCCAAGCCGTACAGTAAACCAGATTCTTCCAATAGTGGTTCCGGAAAAGGAGAATTCAATTCCAGGAGTTTTTTTTTTTTTTTTTTTTCGTGGCCTTGGCCAAGTCAGTGATACCGAGTTCTCCAAAGCAGGCAAGTCAGAAAGTTACAAGTGTTTCTATTGTAACCAACCCGGGCACTTTGCAAGGAACTGCCCCGAAAAAAGGATTCCTACAGCGACAGTTGGTGCACCAAAGTTCCAGGAATAGAACACAGGAAAGACCCAGTAACAAAACAGATACAGACATAGATGAAGTTGAGTATTTTTTTCAATTTGTTAACAAGTATGAGAAAAAATCTTGTCAAAATCTTATAAATGTGAAAGGAAATTTAAGAAAACATGCATTGTTTTGGAAAAATGTACTTAACGCTAATGATATTATAATGAATGTTATTAATTTTGGTTATAGAATTTCTTTTCTGAGTGAACCACCGACTATTTTTCTAAGTAATAATAGATCCGCGTTAAAACACTCAGAATTTGTGGAAAATTCTATTGAAGAACTTTTAACTAAAGAATGTATAAAAGAAGTAAATCGACCATTTGTCGTTAATCCACTTACTGTATCGGTAATTATATATATAGTACGGGTAAAGAAAGATTAGTCTTAGATTTGAGACATGTTAAAAAACCTATGAACTTTTTTACAAAAGGTTCACAAGAAAAGAGTATATTTGCACAGAGACCTTTTAACAGTAATGTGTATGTTTTGTTGTTGGATTTCTCGAAGTATTGAGATTTATGCATTGAATGTTTATACAGACTGTAGTTGAATTAGTTTTCTGCGATGGTTATTTGCCGCAGTTATCAGATATGAGACTATATTCGTAAGAATGTTAAATTTAATATTGTGATGTTTTAACTGCAACAATTAGATATGTCATTGTTAACATTGTTGATTAATTGTTTATGAATACAGTGAGGGTTAATGCCACTGTATATATATAAGTATATGACTTTTTTAGATACTGTGAGGTTGAATGCCACAGTAAGTGTGCGAGGAAAATGCCGCATTCATTTGTTTGCGAGGAAAATGCCGCACTCATTTGTTTGCGAGGGAAATGCCGCATTCATTTGTTTGCGAGGGAAATGCCGCTTTCATTTGTTTGCGAGGGAAATGCCGCACTGGGTTGTTTGCGAGGGAAATGCCGCATTCATTTATAGTAGTAATGTTAATTATATTTACTTTGTTTATAGTTATTACTTGGTATTCATTATTATATTTATTTTACAGATCAATGGAAACAATTTGAGTGTTATGCCAATGATTCGAGATTTGCCAGTATCATACGAGATTTACCCTCTTTTGTCGAATCGTCTAGATCAAATTCTACAATTAAGAAATAAAAGTGCTATTTTAAAAAGTTTGAAAAATGGTGTGTTTCATGTTCACTTGAGTGTTTACCAGCGACAACTACTACGATTTCTATGTATATAGGTGGACTCATTCAACAGGGATCCAGTGTTGCGATTTTAGATGCAAGTTTTTATTCAATAAAATGGTTTCATGACTTTAATTTCAAACATAATCCTTGTTCAGACAATTTCCTTGGTCTTATTTATGAAGGAGGAAGGAGATTGCTAAGTAAACCTATAAAAAAAAAAAAAAAAAGAACCTATTGCGCCAGATATATTAAGGAAAATTGTTTTGAAGTTCGGAGATCATAATAATCTCATAAAATTGCGTGTAGTAGTATTATTTCTGTTAGGATTTTCTGGATTTTTGAGGTATAGTGAATTGGCTAACATTAAGATGAATAATATTGAGTTTCAAGTCAGTCATGTTAAAATTCGCATTGATAAAAGCAAAACTGATTTATACAGAAGGGGTAATTCTGTTGTTATAGCTGCAACAGGTACAGATTTATGTCCAGTTTTTTGGTTAAATAAGTATATCAATTTAGCTGAATTGAGCTATAATTCTGATAGCTATAATTTCAGAGCACTGTCTTTTATGAAATCGAAAGATGTTTATAAATTATGTAATATAAATAGTCCATTGTCCTATACCAGAGCGAGAGAAATTTTGTTAGAGAGTTTATCAGATATTGGTTTAGATAAGCTTAAGTTTGGGCTTCATAGTTTGAGAAGTGGTGGCGCTTCTACGGGGCTAATAGAGGAGTCTCTGATAGGTTACTTAAAGTCCACGGTAGATGGGCTTCTGATAAAGCCAAAGATGGGTATATTAAAGACAATTTAAAATCTCAAATGGCTGTTTCCTTGAATCTTGGCATATAGTTCTCAAATTATTTATTCCTTTGTTTTATCGAAGTTACTGCGAGCAAACAAACCTAAATTATGACTTGTCTCTTATTTAGCCATGTATTTAGAATAGAAATGTTTTAAATTCGGACGAATTCATGAGGGAGAATTTAAATTTATTTCTATTCCGTTATATTTGGAATTTCCCTATTCTATTTCTATCTTTAGACTTGTGGTACAAGTTTGGCTAGTATGTAAATCAGAAGTGGTCTGATGTTACTGTTGTTTTCTGCACGAACATTTCGAGGGCGGTAGTACGGGTGGGGTTTTATAGGCATATATAAGTCCTGATTACGTTTGATTATTATCGATGTGCGCCAGTAACTTTGATAGACGAAGTTAACGTTAAGCTCTGCATAATATATTACAGTTATGTTTGTATTGATATGTATTTAGAGGACATTGTGAATGTATATAGATGGAATTGTGGTATATTTTTGTAATTTGTAAAATGTTTACAAGATATTAAATGTTGTTTCGCTGAGAAAATAAGAAAGTTACTGCGAGCAAACAAACCTAAATTATGACTTGTCTCTTATTTAGCCATGTATTTAGAATAGAAATGTTTTAAATTCGGACGAATTCATGAGGGAGAATTTAAAGACATTGGTACACTACGTTACAACACTTGCCGTCAGTACTCAAAATTGGAAAAATATTAAATAAGAAGGTATAGAAAATTCATGCACACACACTATTATCAACCACAGACATGGTGTTTTTCTCAATTTGCCTAAATCGTTATTCCGCAATACAACGAGGGTGATGAAAACCCACCACTTTGAACACGGGCACCGGCATGCTGTGAATTTGAAAGTTTCCCAAATGAGTAACTATCCCTTACTTTTCTAGTGTAAAGTTTTATTTAATACACATTTGATTTGAAATGGCATATCAGAGAGATATATAAACATATATCATAGGCTGATCCAGGGGGGGAGGTTAGGGGCCTGGGCCCCCCTTTCTTTGGAAAAATTTGGTTGATTATTTAGGGAATCACTAAAGCATGACTGGAGCCGGCCCTCCCTTATGAAAAGTTCTGGATCCGCTAAATGAGAAAAACTCAAGAAATTGTTTTCAATTAAGATAAATACATGCAGTTTATAATTGTTTTCAGTTGTTTTTTTAAAGCAGAGGCGGATTTAGTGGGGGGGGGGGGGGGGGGACAGGAGTTCGGGGCCCCCTTTTCTTGAAAAAATTTGGTTGATTATATAGGGAATCACTGAAGCATGACAGGACGGCGGCCCCCTCTTAGGCAATCACTTATGAAAATTTCTGGATCCGCCACTGTAAAATCGTCTTCAGTTGTATTATATTAAAAATTTTATACCTGTATTCTATAGTACAAATCAAAGGAAAATAATGTAAATTATCTGGTTGTAGCAATACAATATAAATATTGAGCAAAATTTCTACAAACTTTACCATACTCTATTCAAAAATAAACATTATACATCAAGATAACAAAATAAAATTTAAAATCGGGGCGAATGGGCGCAGGGCAAACAGATTCAGGCTAACAAGTAATTAAGGTTGAATGTGAATCAGGGTGAATGGACCTAGATCCAAACTCCAGTAGAGTAACTCCTATTGGTCAAAAGTTCATGTTTATAAATTTCGTCAGGTCACCAGTACCTCACTAATATAAAAATGAAACAACATGTTACAGACAATTTACATCTTTAATTTCAGCATAATTTTGGTTTTGGTTATGAATATCTTTCATCTACATTTTTGGATAAAACAAGGAATTTAATGGTTTTGGGCAACTGTTTTGAATTTAAAAAAAAACCTTTAACAATGTTAATTTTTGTGTGCATTTATTTTTGCTAATTTTGAATAATGGACAAAAATGTGAGATTGATTATTGTGATTTAAGAAAAATCTGCAAACATAAAATTGAAAATGGAAATGGGGAATATGTCAAAGAGACAACAACCCAACCAAAGAGCAGACAACAGCCGAAGGCCACTAACAGGTCTTCAACGTGGCGAGAAAATCACGCACCCGGAGGTAGTCTTTAGCTCATAAATATGTATTAGATATAAGAATGCAATACAGCTCTCAGTCGCATTAATAAAAACCTCACAATAAGTTCTGAAAATCAGAATAAAAAATATTGTAAGATTCTTAAAGTGTACACATGGAGTTATGAAACTTAAATTAATCATGCTAATTAAACATGTTAAAGATTGGCATACAACTTGCATTGGAGTAGCCTTATGGCATTGTATAGTGTAATGAGTTCAGGGGATAATGGCACTACCTCTTTGATTTTAAAGTCCTCAGAATCAATCTTTAATATTAATATGCATACTCTTGTACAAAGGAATATAAGTATGCAATAGACATATGCCAGGTCTTCAAAAATAAGAGGTATCCATGCTATACATTTATGACAAGATCTTAATCAAGTATTAATTTTGGTTTGTTTAAATATTTCGGAGGTTAGTATGGCGTCCTTTTTAATGATGATGTTTTTTTTTAAAGTTGGAAAAAATTGTTTGTACCAACAAAAATAAATACACGAAGTTTATCCAGAATTATGTGTTTATCATTTTTTTTATGTTTAGGTTGCCAGCAAGATGAAAAGAACAATGTAGTTCAAAAGTCAAAATGTGGATAAGCTGATATACAAGGTCCTACTTTTGCAGATTTTCATATTTTGCATGAATGAATTTGAAGTTTATATCATGGAGGGCAGAGAAAGAAAAGAAACACTTCAATTTTCCTGCTCCTGAAGAATAAATGTAAAACATCTTGTTAGGTAAGTTTTATGCTCTGTTTTGATAGTGTTTGTGCATTCATCTGTCTTTCTCTAAATTGTATTCACTTAAAGTTTTTGGTTACAGTTCACCATGAACTTCAGTTAGTAACTTGTGGTTTTACATGTATATACTCAAAATTTAGTACTTTAAAATGTTCATGTATTTTTGTCGAGCCTGTCGCAGAAAGCTCGACATAGGGATAGTGATCCGGCGGTGGCATTAGCTAACTTCCTAAAAGCTTTATATTTTAGAAGGTGGAAGACCTGGATGCTTCATACTTTGTATATAGATGCCTCATGATATGAATTCTGTCTGTCACATGTCCATTGTCCTTGACCTCATTTTCATGATTCAGTGACTACTGTGGATTCATTTATTTTCGTGGATTTAGGAAAACTTACATGTTCGTGGAAATTTAATTTCGTGGTTTTGCCGAAATCTGCATACAAGCCTATAGAAATTTTGTTATTCGTTGAACATTTAATTTTGTGGTTCACCTGTATTCACGAATTCCACGAAAATTGGTATCCAACGAATAATAATGAATCCACAGTACTTGAAAAAAAAGGTTCAGATTTTTTGTAATGTTAATTTCTCTCTTATTATGAGTAATAGGATAACTATATTTGGTATGTGCGTACCTTGCAAGGTCCTCATGCTCGTCAGAGAGTTTTCACTTGACCTAGACCTCATTTCATGGATCAGTGAACAAGAACTTAGTCTTAGATGCATGTTTTTTTTTATTAGTTGTTAGTTGCTTTGAACTAGCTGTCAGTAACTGCGAGTACTCTCAGATCTGTACTTAGTGTCTTTTTGTTGTTTGGATGTACAAGTACCCGGCCACGTCCACTTGTATTTGTAGTATTTGTATTTTTATCTATCTGATGAGTTAAGCCTCTTTCAACTGATTTTTATTCGACCGCAAACATTTTTTTGGGGTTCGTATAATGCTATGATGTTGTCGTTGTCGTCGTCCGAAGACACATTTGGTTTCCGGACAATAACTTTAGTTTAAGTGAATGGATCTCTATGAAATTTTACAAGAAGGTTCAATACCACAAAAGGAAAGTTGTGATTAGTTTTGGGGGTTATGGTACCAACAGTTTAGGAATTAGGGGCCAAAAACAAGCATTTTTGTAGTTTCCGGACAATTACTTGTGTGTAAGTGTATGGATCTCACTGAAATTGTACCATAAGGTTCCATATCACAAAGGGAAGGCTGGGATTGAGTTTGGGGGTAATTGCCCCAAACATGCAGGAATAAGGGGAAAAAAAGGGGTCAAAAACAAGCAATTTTCTAGTTTCTAGACAATAACTTGTGTTTAAGTGTATGGATCTCTCTAAAATTGTACTACAAGGTTCCATACCTCAAAGGAAAGGCTTGGATTGAGTTTGGGGGTAATTACTCCAAGGGGGGGGGGGATTTTTTTCACAATTTTTTTTCTTCAATATTTTTGAAATTTCAAATTTTTTGAAAAGTTTCAAGAAGAAATCTTCAATTGAAAGTATTGCGCAATAGATTTTTAAGATCTTTGACCACATTTATTTTGTGTCAAAAATTTGATCACAATCCAAATTCAGACAG